CTTTGCTCAGTGGGGTAGCAGAGTCTTTTCGGGGTCAATAAATGGACATGTAATAAATGGACATATAGATGTTAAGGGCGCTCTGTGGCCAGGTCCTGTGACCACAGCTAACAACCAGCAACAGCACAACGAGCCTCTGAAGGGTCTGTGCTGCCACGACAAGCAATTACAGCCCATTTACTCATCATCTCACCACTACTTAAAAACAGACACGAGAAGATGCTCTGCAGATGACAAGTCTCTAATGGACCACAGCAGAGCGGCTTCCCACGTCAGGATACCTGGGGTCAGGTGCAGCATCCCATCCTGTGTCCAGCCTGCACGGCATCTCTGCCCAGGAGGCACCTGGAAAACACCGGAAAGCACCTATACTCATTCACCTTGTCAGAGGCGTCAGCACCGGCGGGCTCTTTGAAGAGGAGGAAATGGTTTGTTCTTCATAAACCTCGGCTGGGCAAGTCCTTGCCATGCTGGTAGAACTTGCTTGCCAAGTTGTTTAGCGGCCACAGAGCCAGTGAGGCTAACAGGGGTCATCAACCGGCAGCCACCCCCAGCTGCAGTTTTTCACGTGTTGAGCTAGGAGGGGAGGGTGGAGCCAAGCTCATTTTTATTAAGGTTATATATATATAAACCATAGAAACATTCCTCCCTTTGGCTCCTGCCCCACACAGGGCAGGTGCAGGCAGGGGAGCTGCTCGCACTGGGTGCAGAGGCTCCTCTACCCCCAGCCCGTTCTCTTGAGCTCCCTGCAGCCTCTCACCAGCACAGCCCTTTCCCCTCCACAGCTGCGGAGCARCAAGAGGACAAAGTCCCCAGCTTTGCTTCGTGCTTATCTGTCCTGCTGTGCTAGCAGGTCCAAGAGAATCGGCTAGCACTTGTCCAGATTTTCCTCATGCTGAGCTTTCCATGGGGAATTATTTCCTCTGGCCCTGCTGCAAAGCAACCCTGGCAGGTGCAACAGAGTCGTGCAGTGGTTTTTATTTTTAAGTTCCCGCTTTGGGAGTCACAGAGTACCTTGAGTTTTAATTCCTTTTTCTCTCCCRAATAGCTTCACAGTTCTGGACAGAAAGCTTGGTGAGGTGGACAGTGAGAATTTGCAAACTTTAGAAAAGCAGAGGAAAAGGACATGTAGGAAGTGTTCCCCACAACATTTAACTCCATTTCATAATGCAAGAAAACTTCCCCTTTTCATGCAAGTGAGCCTCCAGCAAGTGATAATTGTGATTAGTAGCAACCAATTTTTAGATGACCAGTCTTCCTACCCTTATCTTCTAATAATCTCAATGAAGAAAGATCTTTGTTTTAAGGAGGATCAGCTACATTCTCATGGAAACCTCACCCCAGCTGTACAGTTGAGTCCTGAATAAGGGGTAATTGCAGGAGAGGCAGCAAGGGGCATCTCCAAGAGCATCTCCTCTGCTTGTGGATCGGGGGTAGACAAGAGCACCCACTGGGTCTGACTCTGCCCTGTGCTGGGCTCGCTCGCTGGATGCAGAAGAGGACAGCAAAGAGGTACGGCGGGTGCAGTGAGCCCTGAGGGTAAGAAAGGAGCCAGGGCTGCAGGGATGCTCTCCCAGCAAAGCTACAAGATGCAGGAAGAAATGGGCTTCACTCGAGGATGGATTTGCTGCAAGAAGTTAAMTAAGAAAAATCTCTTTCCTTGTAAACTGAGCAAATCAGATGGGTCTCCATGGAAACCCCCAAGGCCCACTCAGTCATCACTGCACTTTGTAAGGGGAGAGCCATAAATCTTTGAAAGCTTGTGATACAGGAGCTCGGGTTGTGGTTACAAAGCCCTACAAAGGGTACACAAAGAATCTCCATGTTGCCCCATTCCCATCCGGGCTCCCACTCTCTGCCCACATTTTCAGAAATACCCAGGTATTTAGGACATGCAGTTTGTATGTTATTCCCTGTTTCCTACCTGATCTCTCCCACCACAGTATCCCCCTCCATCTGGCATCTGGACATCAGCAGTTCCTCACCATTAACAGCTAGCAGAGATTGAGCTAACTTTAATAATCTAGAGTAAAACACTTTGGTATCTCTGCAGGACAAAGTATGAGTTAAAAAAAAAAAAAAAAAAAAAAAAAAAAAAAAAAAAAAAAAAAAAAAAAAAAAAAAGCCAAGTCTACACAGTCCAAGCAGCTGAGAGCAAGCCTGTTTTTCCATGAAAATCACGTTGCATCTGTCTCCTGGGATGCAGCATGTAAGTACTGCTAGATTGTGGCAGCCACTGGCCCAAGACCTTGCTGGTGCTTTCACTGGATTTGCTAATTTCTATTGGATCATTAGTTTATTTTTGACTCCTTTTCTCTGAGCTATCTTGATGGGAAGGCACCGGCTAAGCCTGGTCACTGCAACCTGCTGCAAGAGGCCACTGACCTTGGACTGGGAGCAGCAACACCTGAGCCTCCAGACACACGGATGATGAATCTGTTCCCAGGATTGTGCACGGAGTCCCAAAAGGAATTTGGGCTGATGCTGCATGTTGGAAGGTCATTTCACAAGGCTTCTTCCAGGTAATAAGATCTTTGGGGTTGAGGAACACGTTTTCCTGCAGACTACAGGGCCAAGCAATGGTATCAAGAGCTACATGCTGGCTGGCATAGAAAGACTGGCATAAACAGGATGCTACTCTGCTCTTGCTGTGTCAGTGGGTGGATCAGCAAGGCCTGAAGAGRAGATAACCCAAAGCATCACCCAGGGAGATAGCTGGTGGCTATCTACTACAACGATTTGCTTTTCCTTTCAGTTCATTCATACATTTCCAACTCAGAGCATAGTTGTGAGCTCAGCAACAGAGGACTGTACCTTCCTCAAGACTGGAAGGCAAGAAAGAGTCTCATGGATCATGAGCCTTGCAGCGAAACTGGAATACATCACGGTTCCTTGTGGGTGGAATGRTACCCATGTGGTACCCATCATACCCACGGCACCAAGGACCAGGAGSTCTTCAGTGCAAAGGCCACCACAGGACTACTGAGAGAAAACCCATGTAAAAAGAAAGGGCTGATACTGAAGGCTTAAAGGACACGAGACTTCTCAAGCACTTTTTTACTTTAGGTGCTATGGGGAGTAAGAAGGGATAAATATGCTACAGCATTACCAGGCTTCACACTTTTATYGACCCTTACAACAATCAGTGATTTTTCCTTTAAAGCTTCAGCTCCTGGAATCAGATTTCAGAGACCCTGAAATTTCACTTTTAAACAACATTAACCTCACAGCTAGCTTGAAACATGTGACATTCCACCCAAGCTGAAGGCAAATGGAAAACAACTCTATACCATAGTAAATTTTTAAACACGTATGACTTTGTAGGGCCAAACTCCTGGAGTCAACTACAGCCCCTGAAGGCATTTCCACCAGCGTGAGGGTTGCCAAGGGTGGAGGGGCAGAGCTGACCTAAGCTGCGGAGTGCAGAGCTCCTGCAGGGCTTGTTTTTCAGCCACATCTGTGTTTCGAGGGTGGCTTTTGTCTCCCAGGAAGGTGGGCAAGGCAAGGCAGGGCTGGGACAAGCCTGGCAGAGTGCAGCAAGGCCCCGTAAATGCCGAGTGGGGAGGAAATGAGAGACCTTCCAGGAAAKAGGATTATTTGGATTTTGTGTCGCAATGGCTCTCCGCAGCCTGGCTTGCCTCCTGGCTCTATGCACCTCTGCAAAAGGCTACCTGCCCTCTGTGCATGCTGTCACCTTGCCAGGGCAGCTGAAGCACAACTGACCATAGGTTTCCTTAGTGCTGTAGGSGTGTCTCCTATTCAAATGGGGCTTGGAAATGCTGCAGCTTGGGGCCATGCAGCTGAGGGAGGCTGCATGCAGGAGCACCTGGGTGTGAGCATCCCAGGAGATGCTCAACAGGGTCCCTGGTTGCCCTTCAGGGGCTCTTCACAACTTAACTATTCTTTATTCCTCCTGGTTGGTCCTTATCGTAGTTATTCCCATGCCACACAACTTCTATCTCCTAGACGTAAAGGTTCTTCCAGGCTTAGGTAAGTTTTTAAGCCAGTTGTTCCCAGTGCAGCACAAAGTCCAAACTGCTAAGGACTTATTGAACTATCATATTAACCACATTAACCTCTTACACACCTTCCCCACTGCCCTCTCACATAAGCAGGRGAGGTATTAGCAGACTCAGAAGACAAAACACACACTGCCTTAAGTGCTATGGCTATGTGACACCTCTGGATCTACCCCTCTTGCTTTGTGCTGGTGCCTCTGCTAACTGAAAGTCTGGTGTTCCCCACACTGCAGGCTCCCAAAGGTTAAATCACTTAAACTGCCCCATAACCAGCCATCTGTCCGTGTTTAAAGCAGTTTAAACATTCCAGGCACCTGTGTGTTTTTGTTCCTCTACTTTGAATTCCCTCTGACATGCCCTGCTAAGATGGAAGAATCTATGGTCAATGTTCCTGTAGAAATAAGCCTCCCCAGACAAGCAGAGAGTGGAGAGGTGAAGATGTTTCTAGCAGGATGCACATTGTTCTCGACTCTTCACCTAAGTCTATCAATCCTTAGGTGCATGGAGGTGCCATGACTTGGGCATGAAATGGGACAGAAAGGTGTTGACGAGCGTTGAAAAGCAGCAGTTTCCATGCAGCAGGTCTAAGCTGCTTTTGAACCCTCCTATTCAAACCCTGCTGGGCTTCACACCATGGGGGCAAAACCAGGTGCCRAATTTCCTCTCCCAAGGCTGGCCTGGCATTGCTGAGCTGCAGCCGTGGGCTTTGCACCCAGCCAAGGAGGAGCACAGCTTGCACTCGTGAACATTGCTCCATCAGAGCCCCCCATTTCACCTTCACTGTGGACATTACCTTGGCATCTAGAGGTTAATGACTAACCTGCAGTCCTGGAACTCCCCTGGCATTTTTCCCCGCCTCTTCCCTTCTTTCAAATGGCTGGAATATAATGAAAGCGAAAGGACTTCCCAGTGCTGTGGGGAGCACAGCGGAGAAGCTGCTGGAGAAGAGGAGTAGATGGGCCCTTCTTCCATCTCCAAGAACGCCTTTTCCAGAAGGCCAAGGATGGTGGAGGGAGGCTCCCTGCATGGACAGAGACCCTCTGAGTGTGCAGACACACAGCCAGGGGCTCCTGTGAGCTGAAGCAGGTGAGTTTGGTCCGAGCCACGCGGATGGGCTTCCCAGCTCCTTGCAAAATGGGGCAGCCTTTCTGCCAGCAATTGCTTTTGGGGGAACTTCTGCTCAGTCCCTCTCCAGTACCCAGCACCTGGAGGCTTTTGGAGGACTTCAGGTAGTTTGTGCCTGGCAAAGGTCTGGGAAAGCTGGGCTGGACTTTGCAGTGCCCCTGGATTTCAGTTTYTCTATTTACATGGCTCATGGCTCGRTTATCCTGGCTTCCTGCAGAGAGCAGCAGTTTGGTCATCCTCTGCATCTCTATCTCTTCTTCCCTCATCCCATGGRTTAATTTCTCCTCTGCTTTCCTCCATCAAATAACGTACGTGCTTAACAGCTGCTCTTTTTCTACTCAGGCCATGTACACGCTATGCAGAATTTGAACTAATCAATCAATTAATCAAACCCTTTCCTACCCAAATCTCTGGAAAATGGAGCACCTTTCTGCCCATTCCCTCACTGCTGTATGGACTGTGATGAGCTGGGTTCTTGAGGAGGGACAGCAAAGAAATAAGAGTAATTCAGCATTTCCTCCGAGAAGCTGTGACACAGGATCTGGGCCACATTGTGCAAGGAGCTCATCAAACTGGTGGGAAGCCGCAGGCTTTGTAGTTTATAATCTGGGGAGCAAACATGCACAGAGGGAAAAAACCTAACCAAATTCCAATCAGGGAAGGCAAAGATGTATTTCCAGAGTCCCAGCATGTCTTTTCACTATAGCTATATTTCAATCCCCTGCTCCTGCAAGCTGGACAGATCTGAAATGGGCAGTTCCTAGGTGACTTCAGTGATTTCTAATGATTCAAAGTGATTGCTGAGCTGCCTTGAGCAATCTGTGGGGAAACACAGCATTTCCATCGTTAGAGCTCTGCAGTGTGCAGTGCTCCCCAGACCGGGCTGTGTTKGCTGCTGACCTGATTTCAGCTCTGTGCAAGGGAGGGGAAGGGAGGCAAAACCCGTCCCACTGCCCCTTCCCAAGCACCCAGTGGAGTTCAGGGCCGGTCTATGTGCAGCAGACGAGCAGCTGAGCAAGCGAAGGGGATCTGATTGCCCCCAAGACACTTACAGAGGCATAGTCATTCATAGAAATCTCAATGCATGCACTTCTCTAGGGAATGCCAAGACTCCTAGGACCTTATGGCACCACTATCACTTGTGCAGRAGTTTTTTTGGCCCTCAAGATAGCCCTTCACAGCACTACATGATGGAGCATCTCTCAGAAAGGGTGATACTRGAGCCCGCTAGCACAATACTATGAAATTGTTGGCAATGTCCTTGGTGTGGACAAGGTTCTGTAAAAATCTGCAATAAACTCAGGGTAGGATGAGTGAGATGAATCCTTGCTGCATTGTGCAGACACCCTCACGGTAACCATGACAATTCAGAGTGCAGAAATTGCTTTGATTTGGGCTGGAAGGGGCCAGAGGCGAGCAGAGAGGCTTTGCTCAGCCCTCTGCATCAGTGTGGCACAACGTCCCCGATGGACCATCCACCCCACGAGTCCCATCCCAGCAGCAGCAGCTCAGGGCTGGCCTCGGGCAGAATCAGCAGTGCAGCCCAAAGTTGCCTTGTCTGTGCTAGAAAGCGGGAAGATCCCAATGTGCGTCCCATCCCAAGCAGGGTTGTCTGTATCACTTGTCCTGAACTCCATCTGGAAGGAAGGTAGCAAAAACATACGTTGTTGCCAACAAAAATGGCATTTTTTAATTGATTTCAGCATCTCTGATCTTCAGTGATTTCTTGCTGGCCACTCACCTGACTTAAGCAGTGGGGCTAGAGCCTCACAGACCTAAAACCAAGCCAGAGATACGTTTCAACAGTTACAGGCTATAAAAGATAGGGCTAAGCAGGATGGACAAAGACTTTCAGTCCAAGACTCACTTTGGAGACACAGTAATAATCTTGTAGGTTTCTCTCACCTAATTCTGCTGTTTTATTCATTTTAGGCATTGCCATCAACATTTTTGTAAARCCTGTTGACCTGTCGTAAAGCCTTCTTGAAAGATAAGTAGAAATATGGAGTTACGTCGAACAAGTGTAACATCAGAACCAGCCTCTCCAACAAACGGTTCTGGGAAGGACAATATGGATGTTACTTCAGAATTAAATAGCCCGACTTCGCCAGGCCATGACATAGGGATCTTTGAAAGAGGAATTAAATCAATGTTAAGCATCCGGAAATCAAAACAAAACCTGAACAAAGATAAAGAACCTACTGGTACTTTGAGAGGCATACGTCTTTCTTTTAAATTCTCCAAGAGCTGTGAGCAAGGCAAAAGCACGATCTGTGATGAGGTGGAGCAGATTGGGGAGGAGAGCGAATCAGAGCCTGTTAAAGGGAAACCTCTTTCAGGTAAGACAAGAAAACAGCAATGTGATTTGCTTGGCAGGACAAATGCAACCTCCAAGCAGTTTACACTTTGATCTCAGCCTGAGGGCAGGTCACCTGTCATTGAACAGGCTGTTCTGTGGCCTCCACKGTGTTAGTTTAACTGTGTCAAGCACCTTACCTGCAATCAGCATATTAATGAGTCAGCCCACATATGGAAAATATGCAGAAGTGCAATGCAGACTATTCCTATACTATTGTTGGTATTGCACTTCTGGATAGTTTCTGATCTTCAGCTGTCAGACTGGCAGTCTCCAGACTGTACACTGGTACAGGTGCAGGATTTGCCCTTGTTGAACCTCAAGAGGTTCCTCTCCAGCCAACTCTCTAACCTGTCCAGATCCTTCTGGATGGCAGCACAGACCTCTGGAGTGTCAAACACTCCACCCATTTTGGCATCATCTGCAAACTTGCTCAGGGTGCACTCTGTCCCCTCATCCAAGTCATTGATGACAGGTTGAACAGCACCAGACCCAGTACTGACCCTTGGGGGACACCACTGGCCACAGGCCTCCAACTAGATTCAGCCCCATTTGTCACCACCCTCTGAGTTCTGCCATCTGGCCAGTTCTCGATCCAACTCAGTGTCCAGAATCTTGTCCTAATCTGAGAGACTGACTTGGACCAGGGATCCAAGGGATCTCCACAGATGCTTTTGCTCTCTTACACCTTTTTTTTCCATTTATTCCTCTCACAACTGTGGTGTGGCAAGTATTGTTTTCTTCTCTTTCCCCCAAGTTGGGTCACTGTCATTTTTTGTCAGCATTGGGTAGGTTTAGGGTTTATGATGGTCAAATGATAACAACTACCATCAGCTTACCTATCACCTCTTCCCAGGCGTGAGCAGAGTGCAATGACTTCGATCTTGATCCGAGCAATGTTCTCATCTACTTTTTCAAGACAGGGGTATTACATAGCATCCAGGAGATAGACTGAGATGAGTCAATATGGATTGATCTTCAGACTAAATTTCTAGAGCAGAAAAGCTCTGGGTCTACTGTGCAGTTTGCCATGGAGAATAGAGAGAAGAGCTGACGTCCCATTTCTATAACACTCTCCTCTGTGCCATAAAGTAATTTACAGCTTCATGCTGATATGCTATGAGGTCAGTAAGCTGGATCCAAGCCCAGTTTTGCTAGTCCATTCAAAAGGTCACAGATCAGGAGCAATTCTAAATGTATCTCCTGCRGTACACATATTGCTGAATTTCATAAATAAGACCTGTGCTGTGCCCAATAACTAGTGATTGGGCTAGACTAGAGCAACTCTGTCAGAAACACATCTCATCCTAAGATAAATGTGGTAAATGGTGGAGATTCCACCATATGCCCCATTAAGCTGTATAATGACTAATTGCCTTCCAATTTTTTTTTTCTTTTTTTTTCCCCATTTCAATTACCAGCTGGCTGATCTTGTATTGCTAAATTAAAGATCCATTTAGCACCCAACATCACCTCCTTGAATAATTATCCTAGAGGGTGATTAAATGGCATTTTCACTTTGATAAACTGAACAGAATGTATTCTTTTAGTCTCTCATTGTAAGCCCTTGGGCAAAAACAGGGTTTGTATTTATTTATCTAGAAAAGGTTAAGTTAATTGGCACAATCTCCCTTCCCTCTGTGTGTACTGCAGCTGTATGTAGCTCCATAGAGGCACTCACAAGCTCTATGCATTATATGCTACATCAGTAGTTGGGAGATTTGGTGTTTTTTCTGTCTTCATAAGGATACCCGCACACGACACAGATTATTTGGTGCATCTGGTATAAAATCTGTGTGCCCAAAGGCATAAAATCTAAGCCCAAAGGCATGAATTCACAGATTCACAGATTCACAGAATATTTAAGGTTGGAAGGGACCTCTACAGGTCTGACCTGTAGAATTCTGACCTATGAACCACTCCTTCATTTCTGTTTTGAGTTCTCCCTGTTCCCAGTGCACACACCTTCCCGGACCACGCAGGAGAGCAATATCCATTGCCTGGAAAACAAATGCTGCTGGTGAGAGTCAGTGCCTGGCATTTTTTTCTGGAGGTTTATACAGAGGCTGTAAATGATCAGCTCACAAGATTCAGAGCTGCCCCGGGGCACTGAACTCCACATACCATGCCTGCCTTGATATTTCTCCATTTCCTCTGCTGGCTTCCTAGGTGTTGCATTCCTGCTACCTCAGGGGCTCTGTGAAACCATGACTACTCCCACGTCACCTCCTCAGCAACCTCCCACATAGGGACACAGAATGGGTTTTCATTCCTACATCTCCTTCTTTTTACTTCCCAAGATGCGGCTTCTTTACACCGTGCTCCTCCTTTTCTTCATGCATGGAGATGCCTGGGCCATGGGCCCCAACCAGGGGCACCTTCTGTCTCCTTAGCCAAAASAAGATTGCAGATGGCAATAATTGCAGAGCTGGGAAGCTGTGGTGTCTGATCCAGTTTCTCTTTCTAGTTGAAAGGGGCCGTAGACATTTAAAGACCTCCCCAAATGTCTGGAACAGGTAAGAGGCATCTCTCAGGAGCTATTTGCTGTGCTAGGCATGGACTGAGAATGCCCTTTCCAGACCATTTGCTGGAAAATGACTGATCTAACCAGTGATTTGGGCCCTGGACTGGAAAGGGCAGCCAACTGCATAGGGGCCAGTCATTGTTTTGGTGCCTCAGCTCAAGGAAGCATTTCAGCAATTTGTCCCTGCATCTCAAGGAGTCTTGTAATACAAATCACTAGTGATAATCTCTGTAGGGATGAAGGAGATGGTTAGTCRTGACTTGAGTCAGGGATGTCCCTCAAAGGCACTCAGAATGGACAAGGTAGAAAGCACAAAATCAGGGCATGTGGGGAGCCCAGATTTTGCCCAAGGTTACATCTGAGTTGCGAATATTCMCAGAATGTATGAGAAGCATCCCCAGAGCATCACCTGCTTTCCTAGGGCCTTGGTCTYTGAGGAGAATGTCCTGGTGTGTGGACTGGGAGCTCAGAAGGCCCGAGTAGGGGGAGATGTGCTGCTGTGCACCTCCAGCTGGACCCCTGGCCCCTCTTCCTGCCTTCTCCAGACATAGGCAGGAATGCTGTTGCAGGGCTCATCTGTACTGCAGCCACTGCTGCAGGACCAGTGTCATACAAGGCACACTGTTATGCTGAGAAACAGGAGCATCACAGTTAACAGAAATCTCTGCTGGGAAGGTAATTCAGCATCTGCCTCAGCTGCCAATTCTATTCAGTCCCAAACTAAAACGAGGGGCAGAGCCAGGCTCAGTTTTCCGCAGCCTGAGAACCCAATGCCCTCAGTGAAGCTCTCATTAGACATTGCTTGGGGTTTTCCTTCAGGGTTATGACTTTTTCTTTTTTTTTTTCTTTCTTTTTTTTTTGGGGGGGAGGGGGAGGAGGGGGACTATTTCCTATCTCAAAAATTCCCAAAAGACATATAGCTTTAACTTTCCACTGCTTTTCTCTTCTGTGTGTAAGAGGACTTGGAGATATCAGAGAGGATCAGACCTGCAAGGACTGATGAAATCTGCCAACCCAGACCAGTCCTGCAAACTCCCCTGTTGCCGATTTTCTGTTGTTACAGACCTGTGAAGCATATAACACCTACTTTGCCATGTTTTTTTCCCTACAGTAATGGAAATAAATGAACTTATTCAAAAACGGCAACTTTTGGAGGCATTTGCAAGTATCAAGTACTTAGAAGATGAGATGATAGCTGAAAGGGATGCTGACAAATACAAGGATAACCCCCAAGAGTTTGCCAGGAAATCCAAGGATGTGGACTTGCTTTACAATTCCATCACAAATTCAATCCAGTCCATCGTAGCAGAAACACTGGAGCATCCTACCGTAGAGGAGACCCTGCTGGCATCCTTGGTGACTTTAATTGCCCGTGAAGAAGCAGCTCATCCTGGTACAAGTGACACTGCTGCTCCTGGGCCGGCCTTGCTTGGTGCACCCAGAAGGTGGAGGGARGAGTGGACAGAGGCAATCAACCACAGCGCCAGGAAGAGAGTCCTGAGCGTACACATGGCATCCAAGCAAGAAGACACTTCTTGGCTTGATCACCACTTAGGTATCCTCAGTGAACATCTGAGTGAAGATTTACTGAAAGTGAAGTTTGCAGTAAAAAAGTGTTATCCAGAGGATTACAGGGTGTGTGAGATCTATGTGAAGGCCTTTCATAATGCCGTTGCTTTCCATCTGCAAGACCTCTCCCAGAAACCCTTGGAAGTAAATGAACTCTATGCCCTGCTTAACTGGGTTGCTAACACCTACCTGAGGTAAGCTGCAGTTACTCACATTACTGTCCTGGGCCCCTCCAGGGAGTAACAGGGCTGCAGGATGCTTGGAAAGCACACAGTTATTTTCAGTTTCTTCTGTGAGCAAACGAGATGCAATAGCTTACACCTTAGAGCTTGCTGTGCTTCACAGAGCTCATTTACCCTATTTATTCCCTCTCTAACTTGTTCTTCTCATAAGCCAGGAAGCTCCCCCTTCAAGTGCTGCCTTGCAGCCCTAATAATTCCTGCTCTCTCTGTGGAAATGTTTTGCAAGGTACCACAGCTGCTTGTTGACCTTTGTGGGGACAATAAGTGGCCTGTGAGGGAGCATTTCAATAAAACAGTGATGCAGATTTCATTAAAACAGTGAATCCATTAGAAAGCCACTTTGTATCCCTCTTTCACCGTATTCAGTGGTCACATTCAACTTGAGGGGGTACCAGGGGTGAATTTAGTCATGTGTGAATTTAGCCATGTTAAAACAGAGGTTCTGCCTCAGACATGTCCACAAGTTGAATGGGAGATAAGTGTTTTAGGACCTCTTAAAGCTCCCTGTAATTCAGCAGTGTCCAAAATATCAGGGTGCTCTGAGTGCGTGGGTGTAAAGGCAGGAAATTTTCACAATAGCAAAATAGCTTGTGATGCTGGACATTGCCTCCCTTTAGAGCCAAAGGAAACACCTAAGATAGGCATCTGTAGAAGATCCAGATGTTCTGTGTCCTCAGTTGTTCCCTGGTCACTTGTATTTAGTTACAAAGCCTCAGCCCTAGAGAGTTCACAGACAGAGATCCAGCAGAAATAAACACAAGGAGGGAAGAAGGAGAGGGACAACATACACGTGAGGTGGCTTCGTTCATGAGCACGAGATCCATGTCAGGCCAAAATCATTTCTAGCTCCGTAGCTCATCTCCAGGAACAGCCCAGACTAGATGCCTAAGGAAGAGACAAGCACAGAGCAGCCAGCACCGCTCAGCAGGCTGAGATGTTTTTCTGCTGAGCTGCCCCTCTGCTCCTGCCTGATCCTGTGCACCACAATCCTTATTTGCCCTGGATCCGAAAGGAGCCACGAACCTGGTGGTGGTTTGAGCCTAGGGACCCTGTGGGTGGCTGCGCACCACAGGCTATGAAGAACAGGCTATTTATAAGACACAGTCTTTGCAGCTCTCTTCCTGGCTCACCAGGTGACTGCTTGCAATTTGTGTCCCACATTGATCAAATCCATGAATCTTTTCCTTTTTGTCCTCTCTGCATTTATCACAGTGGAGGATGCAGTGCTTCTGCAGCCCAGGACAGACCGTGGGGTGGTCCACGCCATCAGTGGTGCAGCCTAATTGTGGGTTTCCTGCCCCAGAGTGAAAAACACAAGTTTTCCCTCCCTTCCCCTGCCGCCCCACTGCTCAGCTGTCCTGATTTCAGGGCAATCAAGGGAAGGCAAGTGGCGAAGCCGCCTGTCAGCTGAGCTCTGAGTTCAGCTCTGCAGCTGAACGTCCACCCACCACTTCCACGCGCGGGGGAAACGCCGTGCTGCCATCCCCACGTCCCGGCACGTGCGCCTTTGCCACRCGCCGCCCCTCGCCCTCTGCCCTGCTCCGGCAGCGCGGCTCCATGTGCTGTGGGCAACACACGGGGGAAAAATAACAGGCAAAATGAAAATAATCCCTGCGTAAGCCGCGATGTGATACGAGACGCGGAGCAAGGGAGAGCGGCTGGCTCCGAAGCAGCACGTGACTGAGGCATCACCCCGAGAGGCGCTTCACAAGCGTGGACTCAAGTGAATCAGCTTCGTGTTGTTTATTTAAAAAAAAAAAAAAAGTAAATTCTCATAGCGCTTTTCATGTCCAAACAACTCAGAAGTCTCATGATTTCTAAGGTGGGCTGGAACCTTAGATCATTTTGATTTTGAATAATTAGGATTTTGAATAGGGAGGAAAATTTTTCTGGTTAAAGCTTGAAAACAAGCATCACAGTTTAAGCTTTAAGTATATCTCTCACAGCTTAATAATTATGTAGCTCATGCCACATGAATATTCCATCAGTTTACTCTAACTCCAAGGCAATATAATTTGTTCATTTGAATCTTTCCAGTGAACTCCTTCTCGGTCACCCTGCTCTAAAACCAGAAGTTAAACCAGAAAACCTTCCCCTRCTGTTAACACCAGATGATTGGGATAAACTGAAAAACAACTACACCGATTCCTTAAAGGTAAGGTTTTTTGGCCTTGTTATCATGTCTGTCACCCATGACAGAGGTCCGCCTCTGAGACAGAGGTTTCTGATAACTGCATTATGATTTCTTGTCCTCTAAGATGTTGACTCCCACTGGTGTGGAGCACTCAGGACCATGTAGGATGATATTTTAATTAAAAGCAGAGAAGTTCTGGGTTTTGGACCAAAGCAGCCTCTCAACGCTGAGCCTGAACCTGGTGGCTACAGGCACTAAGCGCCAAAGTAATGGTACCAGGCTCATGCAGAATGACCCAGGTCTACCAAATGTTCACAGCTCAGCTTCACCAGATTAAACACGATGAGGATAGCTGTAGCAAAATATTTTGAAGTTAGAAATAATACCTTCTAGTTTTAGAGTGTGTCTTTGGCACAGCTGTACCCAGTTTTGGGTACAGCTGGGCATCCCTCCTCCAAAGAAAGTCCCTGCGGTCCAGGAAGCTCCATCAACCCATGTTTTTCTGCCCCTCCTTGGCAGGGACTGCAAGTAGAACTGCCTGAGGACCTTGCCCAGCAGCTGTAGGTGCTTCCCAATACTACAGGACCCAGGTCCTTTTCTGGGTCCTTGAAGGGCTCCGACATTATTTTTGCAAATCATTTCTGAAGCAAGAAACTGCTCAAGGTGAACTCAATAATAAAATTGGTATTGCTCCATCATGCTAGTAAGGATCATTTTGTTTCACCAGCAACAAGGCTGATTTATTATCAGGGAGAGAGCAGTGCTCCCCCTTACACAGATAGCTGTAGAGCCAGAGAGGACGGGCCGGGGCTTTCATGGTGACCTTGTGCGCAAGGCGTGCTGCAGGAATTTGCAATCAAGCAACGAAACTGCTGACTGAGCCAGAGCGTAGCTACAGACCCCCACTCCGGATCTGCTGAAGTAAATGACTCTGAGGATTAAATACCTTCTCTGCAAAGGAATGGCACATATTTCCTTGTCAGGGGAGCTGTTCTGCTTTGATTTGTGAGCAGTGTGTCCTCACACTGTGCAGCTCTCCTGATTTTTCCCTGAGCTCCTCAGTAGTCTAAAAGGTTCTGGAACAAGACCTTTGATTCTGTTTATCGTGTTGCACTGTACACGTGAGTCTGGCACATGTGGCGGCTGAGCAAAAGGCAGGACACCAGCTCCGTGCCTGGAGTTCTGGCCGTGCTGCAGGCCCAGCTTTGCCTCCACACAGCAATCGGCACAGGGAAGCTCAGAGATAAAGGGAAAATTCTTTGTTACAACCTGCTGAACTCACATCATGGGAAGAGATGGGGGTACTTCTGTATTGTACAATACAAATGTTTTATAAATACAAATAMAAATACAAATAAAACACAAATTTTGTATGTACAAATAATATTTGTATTGGTATTTGGTATTTGCTGGTATTTGCACTGTTGGCTCTTCCACCATGGCAGCACGATCCCRTCACCCAAGGACTCCCCTGCAGACCCACCTCTGCTTTCCCATGCCCTGTTTTACACATGGTTGGTTTTTATCATGTTTTCTTCCCATATTTAAAATCCAGGAGAAAATGAAAAGCTATTTTGGAAATATCCTGCAACTGGAGATCACAGATAAGTGGGAGAAGGAAGTTCAGCCCGAAGTGGATGAAAATCTATACAACTCATCGTTGTCCTTTGATATTCAAACGGTATTTAATTAGCTTCTGTAAAGTGTACGGTTCTCTTTGATTCCAAGGAAACTGAAACGTTATCTTCTGGTATGTAGGTACTGCCTCCTGTGATAATTTATGTTAGTCACGCACTCRTAGAATACATTAGTGGAGAAAATGTCGTTTATTACAACTTTTAGCTCTACCGTTTGCCTTCTAGCTGCAAATTAAACCTGCTGTCAATTGTGTCAGCAACATAATAGGCAACTGATTTTAAAGTCTTTAACTCTCTTTGATTAGAAATAAGAAAGAAAGAATGAAAAAAAGAGACAGAAAGAAAAGGGTTATTAGAAAAGCCCCTTCATTGAAAGAGGAACTTTGTCCCCGGGCTGTAGCCTCAGAAAGGCCGTAGGCATTGACAGCCACTCCAATTTAAACAGTATAGAAAAACAAAAGCTCCTGCTAGCTTTAGGGACTACAGGGTAATAAATCCAGGAGGGGTTCGGATTCATTTTCCTCACTTTTCAAAGGATTGAGTCATTTCAATTAAATAATACCAAAAAAGGGGGGGGGAGAGAAAAAGAAAGAAAGAAAATCAGAGAGAGTTTTGCCTGCTGCTGTGACTCATTTTTCCATAGATTAACATTACACACTTTTGGTCGCTACAAAGGTAAATCTCAATTGGACTCACAGATGGGTAGGATGGCACAGAAAGAGCGAGATCATGGCACAGAAAGAGCGAGATCGTAACTGGCCCTGCTGGGACAGCGATTGTAGCCACTCACAGCACAGGCACTTTGTAAAGAGGGACGGAGCCCCCCTTGGCCCCAGATACCCTGCGGTGTAATTTGGGGGACTGGGCTGTCCTGCAAATGTGCAGAAAGAGAGCAGCTACATGAGGGCAGCTCGGGGCGCYACTCGCACTCAGGCAGCACCAGGTGTCCGGTACATGAGACATGAGTGATGGTGCCACCAGGCTGTTTGTGCTTCTTGGCCCAATCTGGATTATTATTTTGAAAACTGCCAGAGAATAATGAAAAACGCCTGGCAACGCAACTGCTTTTCCTCCTGTGTTAGGCAAGCCATTAATGCTTTTATCAACTAAAGCTGTGTGAGATCATTGCAAAGGAGGAGTCTCCCATGCGTGTCATTCATGCCATTCACTGGAGTTTTGCCTTGCCTTTTTTCTAGATCTTCGCAGAGCACATGAAGGCTTCCCGAGCAATCAGCAGAAGTCTGGAGATGAAAACGCTTGAGCTCTGCCTGGAAGAACTGCATGAATTCATACCAAGGTCTGGGCAGCACATTCCTTCCCCATGAGAACGGTGTTTGTAGGAAAAAACAGTAAAAAGGTCTAGTAGGAAAAAACAGTAAAAAGCACTAGGCCAAGTGCTGGCACTGAGCAGGCATGGACCTGCTCCTAGGAGAATTAGAGATCACGATAAGTTCAATAATCAGCAAGCTGCAAAACAACGTAAATAGCTGGGAGCAGACCCAGGTGGGAGTCTGGTGAGCCACAAAGGACTCCAGGAAGCTCCAGGAAGGAGCTGCTAAGTGGGGAATTTCTGCAACATCGGTTCAGAACACAGGTCAGTCACTGTGCCAGTCACGGACAAGCAGCACTTGATGGGGACACAGGTCCAGGTGCTACTTCGGTACAGCTTTGACTAAATATGCCCTTCTGAGGCTGCTGGCTTAAGAGGCAAGTCCTTTCTAGAAGCTTCCAGAGAAACGACTGCACTGTCATTATTGTAATTAAGTCTCTTACACCCGGGTCCAGAATTCAAATCGTGTATCGAGGCTGCCTTCTGGAACTTTTACAAATGTTCTCAGTTCCGGAAGGACACACTGCTGTGTCTCTTGGCTGAAATAATATTTTTCTTCTTGGGTGCAGTCCCTGAGTTACGGCTCCAGATCTTAAATCTGGCCACATGCTTTGGGGATGCTCCCAGGAAGGGCTTTTGGCTCGCAGATGAAATAATCTTTTCCTCATCTCGGGGCAGCTACAGGCTGCCTCTCCCACAGCTGCTTGGTTGTTTTTCAAGGGGAGTCATATCCATTCTCTGGAGCAGYGCTTGGGGGAGAAGAAAGGACATTTGGCATGAATCAACTCCAGAGAGAGCCTAAAAATAATTGCGCATTAACCTTTGCGATTTCACACCTCCGGAAGGCGCTGAGTGGGTAGTTTGCTAATAGACGTTTTACAGAAGCGAGTGTGGGGGAGCTTGAGCGCTGCTCTCTGAGAACGTGAAGTTGTGGAATGACAGGTACTTAAGGCATGAGAAAGGCAACGCTTTCCCATTTGGAAGCTCATCTTTAATAACAYAACTATCTCAGCTTGTCTGCAGAGTCCTGGGTGAACAGGGCCCTTCAAACTAGCTCTTTCACTTTGAAACCTTTTTTTATTTATTATTTTTTTTAGGAGGAATGTGGTACTTACTGATGTTCCTTTCTTTCCTTTTTGTGGAACAAAATTGGTGTAAAATCCAAGCCATCTACAAGGGCAGCAAAAACACCCAAGTGGAAGGGTCACCGACACATGAGCTTTCTGCTAAGCAGCAAACCCAAGGGCAAGTGGCCAAGGTCAGCCTGAGCGGATTGCTCCGGATTGACTGAGCACCCGAGCACTGGAGGCCCAAACCCCCCTGCCAGAGCGTGCCCTCTCCTGTGCTCTGTGTGGACCTGTCTGTGGGATGGCTGTCAAGACCATAAAAGCTGCAGTACACAGAAAACAGATACCTGATATATCATGCTGAGAGTAAAGGGGGAAAGTGTAGGTGTGTGGCCTCATTCCGATCCAGCTTCTATTGTAAAAGGAGCTCTGTGTTAGATCACTTCCTTGTGTGCTTGTGAGGACATGCATTATGTTGCCCCAAAAGCCAGAGAAATGACTGGCCAGATTTATGAGACTGGGTTTTACTAACGCAGCTAATCGCTTAGAGTGGAGAAAGTCAAAAATTTCACCCAGGCTCTTTCATGTATAAAGATTACTGGAATCTCTCCAAAACTGTGCTGCTTACACATTCAAGTGAGCACCTACTAAACCAATAATTATCTACTATATATTCCCCTCTAATGCACATGCATGTTAAGACAACTGAAAAAAAATATCTGCATACACAGAGGACAGATTGGGCCAGCAGTGAATGTCTTTTGACATTCCCATGCATACAGAATATGAATAAATCTGTTCTGGCTTGTTTCTGGTCCTGTTGCAGTTGGTCTTACCTGCCTTTCTGTTGCAGATTTGGGGAGGAATTTTTGAAGTGGAACACTTCCCAGGACAGCCCAGTATTTGCGCCTTATTTTGCCGCCTACATCAACAGCTTCCATGACCTGGTGTAAGTCTGTTCTTCCCTCCTTACGCTGCTGTCTTTCTGGGAGGGATTTGGATGGATCTCAATGTATCACAAGGGAAAAACAAACAGTGCAGTGATGGAGTCTGCAGAAAAGGATGTGTAATTTAGTGTAGTTGTGGGAAAGAACTGAGTTAGACCAAGAATGGATTTGGCTTTTTAGGAATGAGTCTGCATTTCTGGTCAAATGCATATCACAGCTCATTTTCTAGTCCACTTTCCTCTACCACTGGTGATATTAGGTAGCACAGGCTCAGGGACGAGCATGTACAAATGGGACTGAACACGGCACAAACCCTCATGCAAATCTAGTGATGTTTGAAATGGACTCTGCAGCCCTGTCTGTCAGCAATACCCCAAGCTCATGCATTCCTTTGTGCAATATGGATGATTCGGGAGCTGGGGACCATCAGGGGCTGCATGAATATGCTCTGTCTCTAGCCCATGCTTCACCTCCTGGTGGGGATGTTCCCTAAGAGATTCAGAGTTAAAAAAACGTAGCTTGGGAATAAGGATGAAGAAGTGGAAGCAGGGAAGGATCCAGTACTTGAAGGAAAGATGAAAGTTTTTGACTCAATTTCAGCCTCTCTCCTTCAGCTTCAAAGGGAGTTCTCTCATTTGCTGTTTTTGAGGTGAGCAATATAAAACCAGAAGCACACTCGCACTGCTGCCTTGGCACTGGGCTGGAGGAGATTCTATGGAAGCACTAATCCTGCAAAGAAACCCTTACCATAACCAGGAGCAGTTTCTAGGACTTGCATATGTTAAGAACTAGCTGTTTAACGTCGTGCTTTCAAAAGGCCTCTGATGCATGGGTATGCCACCCAGCTCGGTCTAGGTAAGGTGTCTGCTTCCATATGCAAGAGGTACCAAGATCTGCTGCTTCAGCCCAGTGCCGGAGCACAAGGCAACCCTGCAGCTTCCCACCGTGGGGTACTTGCCTGGGGTCTGCTGGCAGAGCTCCCATGGCCTTTTGGTGCCAGTACCTCGAGCAACTGGGAACATTGGTATGGGACATTGATATGGAATCTAGGAATCTAGGAACACGGTGTGCAGGGACAACAGGATGCAGCTCATGGATGGTTTATGCAAAACCTGTCCTAGAGGACCTTCAAAAGTAGGGCCAAGATTGTGTCCCTCTTTATCCAATGCCTCAGGAAAGGGTTTGATCYCACCATCCCAGAAGTGGCAAATGATTGAGGCATGTCACATCCCAGCAGGTATCTGTGGTCCACGGAGCACAGCAGGTCAGGTGGTTTCTCATGGGCTACCTTGTGGTAGCTGGGCTGTTGGAGAGCTGAGGGCCAAGCCCAGGGGTGCTTCAGCTTCTGAGACAGTCCCTGCCATGCAGATGTGCTGCTTCAGTGGCCGACTCAGCCAGTAAACATGCTGCTAATGCAAAGGAGCACCTGCAGCTCCAGATCCCAGGAAATGTTTTTTTATTGAGCCTTATGAGAAGGTGGTGCTCTCTGCCCAGGAGGTGAGCAGCAGCTCCTGGGGGTCTGCAGCCACCAGAAGGACCGGCCTTTGGCCTYGCAGTCCCAGCTAGGCTGGAGAGCAGGAGGTGGCCTTGGCATCTCCCCTTTCTGCCGTGATTGAATCTGTTATCTCCAGCTTATGCCCCTGCATTGCTGCCTGGCAGCATTGGTGACAAGGGGACACGTTGGTCAGGCTGGTGCTGGGGGTTTCGTGTTGCAGCTGGMCGTGTTCCCGCAGAATAAGGCTGCTCCAGCCCTCCGTGAGCACTAGCAGCAGGCAGGCTCTAGATGGCACAGTCTCTCCAGAAATGCTGCTCTCCTCCTGCCACCAAACAGCTGTCCCCAGCACAATCCCTTATCCAAGTCCTGTCTCCTTAGGAGGTTGCTCTCTCATTCCCTGCTGAGGAGCCGTAAGGTGGCACAAGGCATGGAGCTAACAGGTGCTCCTGTGCTCCATCAGCTCCACTGGCTTTATTCCTGCATCCAGCTAAATACACGTGGTGTTGTGTTACTGGGATGGGACAAACCAGACCACATGCTGAAGTGCCTCACAGCATAGTTTTAAGGATGATGAATGCAAACTCCAGGTGTCCATCATTAGCATGGCTTTAGCTATGGATTTGAACTCCCAGCTTAGGACAAGAGGTTTGGGTTTGCATGTTTTGAAGTCAACATCCAAGGGAGCGCAGCCTTGTTCTCCAGGGAGMTATCCTTACACAGAGAGAGGGAACACATGGAGGACAGGTAGGGACAGGATGGGGAGTGGGGTAACCTAGGAGCTGACACCCCCAGAAAATCCACTCCTGCCAGGCTGAAAGCAGAAGTCTGCATGAGCAGAAACTCTGCTAGCAGCCTGCTGCGTGGCCTTGGACGTCTCTAGCTTGGACATCATGCTGCTGCCTCGGCGGGGAGTGTTACAGAGGAACAAGGATATGAAGTGAGAACAGAGCCGGGAGTCTATAAACACCCTGAGAGTCCATACATATTGCCAAGGATTTCATTAATTATTCAGATCTTGTATTTTCTTCCTCAYTGTATGTTGTGAAACCTTCCAGAATTGCACACTTTTCCTAGGCACCCCTRCAGTTCACCATCCACGTCACTGCTGATAAAGCACCGAGTGAGTCAGCCAGCCTCTTGGACAGGGGGGGTAACATTTTTTTCCCCTTCAGTGGCTTTCTTTGCTTGTCTCCTACACTGTAAGATCATTGCTGCAGGGACCTTTTCAGGTGTTTGGAGAACATTTAGCAGAAGTGTTACTGCAAGTAAAAAAAGTAATAGGCTTGAGTTATTACTCCTCAGGGTTGAATTGCCCTATCTGATGAGGAAATAGGTGTTTTCTTGAGCACATTCAGTTCTGAATCACTYTCAGTGATTATGCAAAAAGAGTCATTATTTGGACCCATGAAAACTTTTAAGAGGAAGTGCAAGAGATAMGCAAGTCATACTAAAAAACACACAAGATAACAATCTGACTAAATTGATTGCAATAGGGTAACAGTTCACTTTCTAACACTGAATCAATGTTTTTCTCTTTCTCTGTCTAGGTCAGGCTTACAAAGAGTGTTCGAAGTCAACACTGAGGAACTGCAAAATGTTATCACATCTTTGACAAAGAACTTCAGAAACATTTTTTTTATTAAATTAAGATCAAAAACGCAGGTAAGAGTTGCTCAGTTTGCTCCCTAAACGTGCGAAGTTTGCTGCAAAAGCAGAGGCCTATTGGACCTGTCTTGTCTCTTCGAGTAGACCTTATTTAACAGTGTATGAAATGATGGTATCTGCAAAACACTTTATGCAAACTTCTGTAAAGATCCTCCTTAATCCAAAGTCATGCTTCTCGTATCCCGGGAATTCATCATTATAAGCAGTGAGACATGAATCAAGCTGTTTATATTAGTGTAACAGCAACAGAAAGAGAAGTATGTTTAGTGGCTGCCAGCATCTTGGCCAAACCAGTGTGGGGAAACCTCGCCTCTAGCAAAGCACCAGAGAAATCAACTTTGGTGAGACATTTTGCCTTCCATCAGAAGATATGGATTTTTTAGGACCTCTGATTTCTGTTATTTATTCACAAATCTGCAGCCATGGTTCATTATTAACTCCTGCCCAGAAGCTATGTAACCCACGAAATCTTCAGCCTCTTCAGAGAGAATAGAGTTTATTCTGGTAGGAAGAGTTTTCCCAGGATGTTTTCATGCTAAAAAAAAAAAAAAAAAAAAAAGACTGTTTCTTTCATTACAAGGAAGATAAAACTCAGGTATCATCTGGGCTAAGCAAACTTATCATGAGAGACCTAAAAGGCAAGGTGTTATGATGCAGTTTGTGCTCCCTGAGTACTCTAGGCAAGGTTTGGCATTCTCAGCTGTCTAGGAGTCCATGAACTCTAACTAATACAGCAAGAGAGATGAGGAAAATTAAGGTTTTGGTGACACCTCTTTTAACTAATCCTAATTCTAAATCACTAAGCATGGCTTTCAGAAACAGAGACAGTCACGCAATAAGAGCCATGCTCTGAACTAAGTCAAGGCCTTGGGCAGGGGGACTTTCCATGGACTGCAGTGTTTTGAATTAGAGCCTTAGGGGTGGGCACRGAAGCAGTCAAGCCAAGGCATTGAGCAAGAGGGCTGCAACCCTGAGATCTGAGAGGCAAAGCATTTATAAACAGTCCTTCACAAGGCTGGGAACATAGTGCTAGGGCAAGCATGGGAAATTATTGGAAAGACTGCAAGGAGCACAGACAGTATTGACAGCAATCCTGAAAACTAAGCTGAGAAAAGTAATATGGGATATGCCAGCACAGGGATATTTTGAACACAATCCCTGGGAGAATGTTTTCTAGTACTAGCTGAAATATTTACCAGGTAATGGTGTGTTTCAGTGTGAGTGTAGTTTAATTCCCATGAGCTGGCAAGCCAAAGAAGCCCATCAGCCAGTGGCCACCCATCATCAGAGCAGTTTGCACCCAAGGCCCACATGAAAAGGTGCGATCACTCTCAGGTCAGCACTGGACACAAGGCATCAAGCTGGGGATGCTCCCAGTTGCCACTTCCCCCCTGCCACATGAGAGCAATGAGCAGAAGGAAAATCCACGTGAGACCTCACTCAAGTGCTCAGATCTGCGGTGAGAGGAGAAAGACCCTACAAATCCCATGAGAATAGGAGCTTGTTGTCCTGATGGAGAAGGCTGGAGAGTTGGGGGATTACTGGGAAAATTTTTGACATGTTCAGTACCATTTAATATTTCATATCCACAGCTGTTGCAAACCAGTAAGGCACTGCAGACCTCATACATGGCTGCAATCTATGCTCTGCATTGCCCATGCCTGGTTTTCTCCCAATTAACATTTGCATCTATGTCTTCATCTATATGGTGTGGAGTCAAGGTCATTCACCTAAAGAAATCTAGCTGGTAGATTGGAAGAAATGAGCTGTCCCAACTAAGCCTTTAATCCAACRAAGTTGAAGCAAAAGTCTGCTAACCAGGTTGCTCAACGTTGGTCTTGTTGGCTAGCTGGCTGCTATCACACCTCACAGGAGAGTAGCTGTGGCTAATTCCCAATGAAGAGTAAGACAGATTTGTTAAGATATTTAGTTTTAAGGTTTCTTTGGTATTTAGACGAAGACTGTTAAGCTATTTAGATTTAAGTTATCTTATAAATGTGCAGGGAAATGGCTTAGCTTTTGCATGAAGCAGCACTCAGGCCTGAGACCCATCTGCTACTTGTGGGGGGGTTGTAGTTAATCCCTGAATATCTCCTGGAAGAGAGAAATCGCAGMTGGCCCCCATGCACACTTTTTAGGCACCAGAAACCCGGAGATGCTGCTGAAAACTCTCCTCCCTCCAGCTGTTACGCAGGAAACATTCACTGAGTCTTGTGAAACAGCATCGGCAGCACTCTGAATATTACCARTGACACCCATAAACTGCTCTTTTTCAGCCACTCTTTAAGAAAATCCTCACCAAAGATTGGATTTTAGCTACTGAGAAGCCAGGCTCGCTGGCGTCTGCCGTGTCGCAGTTCTCCGAACATTTGCAGCACATGAGGAAGCCCATTGGGCAGGTAGGAGGTTCCTGCAGCCCCTCACACGGTGCATCAAACTGGGTCATRCTCCCACTGCTGGGCTGCAGTCTGGCCTGGGAACAGCCTTCTCCAACAGCCGCAGCTGGTTATGGAAGTGTGGGTGAATGGCACCGCCAAGTTTAGTTATCCTCTTACTTTGGCATGAGAATAAGCAACATCCTTGTTTTTTGGAGTTTAAATAAGGGAACTGGTTTCCTTAAAGAGGAACAAAAAGCTTCTGTGAATGTTGCTACTGAGCTTTGTAGTTCCATAACTTGCAGACTTCTGTGCTTAAATAAATTTATGTGTTCCTTCCACATCTGTACAGTTATGAAATAAATAGATATGCAATAATGGCTCTATATTTAAAATCTGCACCACCAAAAGCCACTATGAAAAAGTCCCAAATATCCCCTTTAACTTGTAGGGACCCAAATTACCAACTTACAGTYGTGGGCTGTTTCCAGGAAAAGAGTCATTTTATGGTTTCCCTCTGCTCACTGCCTTGGCCGGGTGCCTCGGAAGTGGATATGTGGCTCCCACACTGAGCCCCTCTGTACTGGCCTTGTGAGGCCAGTGCTGCTGGATGCRCAGCATCCGTGCATCTCCTTTACACCCACTACTGTTGCTGAAAAACTGAGGGCTTCCCCTGCTCTCTCTCTCTGCTATAAGTTTCTATCAGATTTGTTACAAATTTTTTTTTTTTTTTAAACAGGAACTTCTCTGTGACATTCATAAGTATGTGGTGAGGGAATACATCACCCAGGTCATCAAACCAAGACGGAAAATGAAAGGGGAGATGCGGAAGCAAGTGAGCGAAAAGATGAACCAGGAAGCCAAAATCCTTAATAATATGCTCATGGATCAGGTACACGGGCTGCCKTGGGTACTACCCACGTCCCTGTGGGTGCATCAGGCCTTTGGTTCATTCAGCCCTGAAGAAAGTCAAGATGTCAGACATGACATCCCTAATAACCAGGATGGTTACTAGCCAAAGCTGGCACCTGAGCTGCCTTTGAGGCCACGGCCAACCCTGGGTGGCCCAAGAGGAGACACCTTCCTTGGTGGCTTCTCAACTCCCTGCAGGCTCCCCACGAGTATTGCTGCCCAGGTAACCTSTCAGTGGCAAGCATGGCACACAGCCCACTTTTCAGTGCCACTGATGCTCTTTCCCATCAAGGTTCCCGTAATAGTTCCCAGACAGTTCCAGTTCACAGCCCCCAGTGCTGCTGCAGTGGCTACTGGTAGGGCCATCTGTGTAATAGTTATTGCAGAGAATGGATAAGAAAGCTTTCCTGCAACCAAAACTTCAGGTAGGAAATGTTGAAGAACATTTCCCCACCAGTTTGGACCCAGCTGCAGTGGTGTTGGAGGATCATGGAGCTTTCCCTCTTTCATGGTCCTGGGAATACCTAGTTGAGATTACTGGTTGTACTCTTTTTTTGATAACCCTACCCCTACTTTGCACACAGCACAGCAACAAAAAAWGTAAACAGCACAGCAGCATTGTTTTATAACAGCAGAAATAACCTTCTGCCAAAGCTCTGTGTGCTTTGCCAAGAGAACAGACCAAAAGGCTTTGTCAAGATGTCGTGCTCTCYACTAAAAGTGCCATGTATGTACCTGTTTGTAGGGGTCTACTTCAGACTGGCTGCTTCCTGCCATACATCACATCGCTGACATAGTTGGGGAGAAGAAAAAAGACAAAATCAAGGAGCACATTGTGGAACTGTGCCAGGATTACCCAGATATCAGGTATGTGAGAACGCCACAGCTTGTCCTGGTCAACAGCAGTTCCCTCCTGTGCCTTGGCCAAGCTCATGAGCTTCTCTGACCTGGACGACTCAACATGTTAGAGGCTCCTCCTCAGTGCAAGGGGCCAGGAATAGGGAAAATACTCTAATTTTTCTTGCTCAGGGACTCTATTCCTCTTCTGTCTTTCTCTCTCTCTCTCTCTCCTTCTTTTTCCTCTGGCAGATCCTACAATACACACAAATTAATTCAAAAATCTTTTCATTTTATTACTCCAAATAAGTCTTGTTTCACTTGAAGGCTTTAGGCTGCTTTTCARGAAATCAACTGTGTTTGCACAGTGTGCCAGTTCACAGGCCTCGGCTTTGGAGCAAAAATTTTGTCTCCTGTTCCCCAGCTCAGACATCAAAGAGCAGCAGACATTGAAGCAGTTCATCTGTGGCTTCTGAAAGGGACTCAAGACAACCACTGGATTTTTCTGGAATAAATTTCAAATTCTTTCTTCTGTATTTTCYGATTTGCTGTTCCAAAGCAGCATCTGCTGAATTTAAGATTACTGAAAAAAGCAAACAAGCTAATTAACTTTTTCTGTGCATGGATGAACAGCTGTGTGTCAGTATTCACCCCCTCTTCTACAGCTCTTCCAGTGACCACTGGGAAGGAATATTAGTAGTACAGTTTGCAAGAAAATTTCATTTATCAGAGTGATCTTTACAAAGAAAAAGATGAACAATGCAAGCCCCATTTGCATTGGGTTACAGATTTACTCCTGGATAACATTTATGTAATTAGCATAAATGGTAAATTTAACAAGTTGTTCAGAATACTGAAATGGACCCTCAGATACCTTAAAAAAAAGAAAAAAATATATATATTTCTTTTTCCCAAAGCTGAGGCTCAGAATGTTTCTTATGCATATTTAAACTGAAAGGATAAGATATGTTTTGGGTTTATCTATGTGTGGAAATCCAAGACATGATCTTGAATTCTTCTAAAAAAGTAATTTCCTCAGTCTATTCCACAAAGAGAACACCTTGCTCCTAATTACCAGATTAAGGTGATGAACGAAGCAATGYCTGTTCTAGGAGACATGGGGGTAAATGAGCACTGGTGAAAATGAGCTGTTTGGAAATAATTTTCCAGGCAGAAAAGCTATTTGCAGAGTTGGGATTTGTGGTACTTTTCATAACTTTCCAGCCAAGTTTTGAGGTTCATCTATTTCCTGCCGTTCCATTATTGAGCAACGTGATTTTTCAACAGTTAAGTTGAGGCGAAACCTGCCAGACCTGCATTGCTTCCTCTCTCTGCCTTTGTTAATGCGTCCCTGGAGCTCTCGGGATGTTGCTGAAGCTATATATGTACAGAGATTACTGRAACAGGGCGTGTTTTCACCTCCTTTTTCCTCACTCTAATCTAATTAGTGCCCTTCAGCTTCCCAAATATTAGCACTTCCACTGTGTAAGTCAAAATAATCATTAAATAAAAGGTCTRCAACCTCTCAGGAAAACCTGCACAAGATTCCGCTTGTGTTTACAGATGGAGGAGGAAATTCCCGCAGGCACAGGCAGCAGGAAGGTGCTGTTTTCCCTTTGGGGATAGGCAGGAGCACATCTCAGCTTGCTGGGAAGCCCAGAGGAGAGATCTCCTTCCTCAGAGGCTTCTCACCTTAACTCACTATTCCTTGTTACTGCTTGTCCCTTATCTCTGGAAYGGTTTTTGCTCTCCATGAATGAGCTCGGTCTTGTTTGTCTTCACAGAAAGGAGCACATCCTGGGCGTTCTGGGACTCCGAGGTCTGCGGCGAGCCAAGAGCAGGGCAATCATTCCRAAAAGACACTGCCCACAGGAGAGCCCTGACAGTGGGGACAGCAACTCGCTCTTTGCTGAAATAGATGCTCCAACAGTCATCAGCTGCTTCTAAAAGGCATTCAAAACAGAAGTCAAAGTCCCACCTCTTCCTTCACTGCTTCTACATCCTGATCCCAAACCCACTTTGTTCCTCTTCAGAAGCTCAGCTGGTGTGGAAGAAGAAGCTCTGAGCTCAAAAACCAAAGGCAACAGAGGCACCAAGGTGCCAACATCCTCCAAATACCTCCAAGCAGCAGCTCTAGCAGTATGTCCTACTTGGGGTGAATCCACTACTTAYATCAGTAGGAGGCTGCTCTGCTCTTTGGACAAGTTTGAGTCTCTTCTCAGTGAACAGGAAAGAATCAAAAGGAGTTCACTCGAGGCTATATTATGGCCTAGACTGTGTGTTGCATAATTACACAACAACAGAGCAAGAGCCTCATTCATAATTACCATCTTTGAGGAACAGAGGAACTGAGTTTGGGCTGTGATGTCATGGAGTCCACACGTCCTATTTCCTCCCTTGTGAACCAGCAGGTGGGACTGGCCTAATGTAAGGTCAGTGACACTGCAGTCTGATGCCATAGACCACTACCTGCCTGAAGAACCAAACTCCTAGAAGGTAACCAAACCCCACAGCCGATATACACAGAGTATGGACCTCTCCAAGACAGGCCCTTAGCATTTCAGCAGACTTTCCCCTTCCACTTGCAGCTGTGSCTTGAAAGACTTACGTTTGACCTGAGACCTGCTCAAGACTTCACATCCTTTCTATGGAGACAGATGTCTCAGAACTGAACATGCCATGCTCAGCGTGGAGCAGGCTCCAGGTCCCCTCTGGCCTTGGGAAAAGGGCAGGTGGCAGAGGTGATGGTGGTAGCGACCAGACAATTTGCTTCTGAAGCTGTTTCCAAGCAGAGAAGAGCCTAGAGTTTGGGACAGTGGTTAAATGCACCTGTTGAGTGGGCCACAGAGAGTAGATATCCCTTTCTGCTGTGGACAGGATTTCAGATTTGTCCCCAAAATTCCAACTAGGAGGCAGAAAGTAGGCGTTTTGCCTGATGTTCTCCTAGTCCTTGTTCTTGCATGTTTGGAGGTACTTTAATGAAGCTGCTGCAATCCGTCTGCAAGATGAAACTGTAAATGTTAAGCCAACAGGCAGGGTGCTTTGCATGCAATCCTCACCTGACGTAAGCCAGCATCACCCCATTGACTACAGTGAAGCAACACTGGTTTGTATCTGTGGAGGGTCCAAAGCTTTACATTCAGCACCTACATGTGAGCATATGCATGGAGGCACATTCAGAAGCCTATGGCTGTACAGAATTGATTTTATTTAATYCATTTTATCCCATAGGTTCCCTCTGTAAGAATTAATTCAAGAATCTCTACAGAGATATGTTTAAGGCCTCAATTAATATGATAAATGTGGATGTGGCACAGTCCTGAACACTGATTTTTCTGCTGCAGACAGTGGGAGTTAGAGCATCAACAGTGATTCTCTTACACTTCCTTTACCCCAGTTTTCACCTGAACAAATTTCAGCCCATGTGAGCAGTAGGAACTGATGAAAGACCAAGTGGGATGTTCTGATAGATAATAAATGAAGCATCTACCTTCTACCATTCATGGACATTCATCACATAACAAAACTTTATCTGAGATATGGTAGACTTGCTCTCTCCACAGTCAAGGCGAGGTGTTTTTCTCTGAAGATCTGATAGAAACTGTGAGCTTGAGGCAGGAAATCCTGAGAGGAATTTGCTGCTGTATATCCTTCACCAAGTCAGACTGGCGGATCAGAACTATCCTGGCACAGCCTCAGCTCTGCAGCTCTCTATAACTGAGAAAGGAGAAGTGATGTAACATCCACGTTTCACATCAGATATGCAGAGCACTTCTATGGGTGAAGCTCACCTGCCACCAGCTCTGGGGAGAAGCTTGATATGATGGGCAGTTAAACTACCTGTTATCTACCTGTAAGATAGGTGATAGGCTACCTGTTAAATAGGTGATAAATTCTGGCTTGGCCAGCATCAACTTGCAGAGACAGGGATTTGACTGAGCCTTGCGTGTGTTCCTCCTGCTGCTGGGGATCATGTGGAAGAGCCTGTGATGGAGATGGTCCCTTGGAAAGGACATCCAGGATACTCCTAACCTCAATACATCTGCGAGGAAAATCCTGAGCATCCCATACCTGTTTGGGGAAGGGATCCCATGTCTACTGGGGAATGGCACCACTGAAGAGTGGTCTTGGCCAGTTGTCTGGACCAAGCTTCAAAACCTCCGTCTCCAGGCTGCCTCCAAGGAGGTGCATGAAGGCTCAGCAACACTTGGAGCTTCCTCTTCTCCCCTGCCTCTTGCCTGAGGATCTGAAGGCAGGCGAGGAGGCCAAACTTACATTACTTTTATTGGTATGGATCACCCCGTCACCTTTCATGGGAGCTACATCTCCCGGCCTGGCAGAGGAAAGTGTATGGAGATAAGAAAGGGACCTCAATTTTGGCATCCTTCGTCTGAGACATCTAAGGATGCATTTTCAAAGACGCACAGGATTTGGAGCACCCAGCCCAGTCAGGAGAAGTCCTGTTGTGTTGGACTCCTCCTTTTGTCCTGTGTGCATCTCTGATCCCGGCACCTCATTTAAGGCATCTTCATCATCATGGAAACTATTTTCTCAAGTTTATTAAAGGCCTGCTAGGTTGTCAAGCTTACAGTTTTAATGCATCTTCCCAGAATTGTTGGGTTTTTTTTCCTTTGGGCTCTAGCTGCTTAGCCCTAGCATTAGCTAAGGAGTTCAGCTTTCCTTTCATAATAAAACCACATGTAACCATGGCATTATGGAGGAAAGCTGGGAACTATGACTTGCATTTCGTGCTCAGGCTAAAGAAACAGCAGGAAAACGAAACCTGTCAGTGGTTTATTTTTACCAGAGCCTCTCTTGGGAGCCAGACCGTGCTCTGGATGCTGTGCCCTGGCATCCTGGATCACAGCCAGCCTCTAAGCTCAGGGACAAGCCCATGCAGAGAAACTGCCTGACTGCAACAACCTGAGCTTGGAGAGAAGATCCGAATTGGTGCTGAGTCCACGAATGCCCAGGAGTTTGCTCAGGAGCAAGCTGGCACCCAACTGCAGGGTCCGTGCTAAGCTTGTCAGGTTGCTCAGGGGAGTTTCTGAACTCTTTGAAGCTTCTGCTCTCCCTGCTACTCGCTCTTGAGCCAACCAGTCTAATACTTACCACTGGTCAAGACACTGCTCAGTCCATGTCCTGCCAGATGCCCATCTTGGGGCAATGGGAATCGTGTTGTTCCCTGGAAAGACAGGGCTTAGTCGGGGCTGCAAGATCAGCTCTTGGACGACACCTAAGCGAGAAGGCTACGCTCTCCAAACTGCTTTGCCCCCCACATTCTGTGGAGCAGCGAGTTTTTATTAGGGACATATTTCATATTCTAATAAAATAAAAGGTCTCCTTGGGCTTTTATTGTGAAATATGTCACTCTTGTAGGAAAGTGCCAAAGAGCTAAGTTATTCTATTAACTTCCTCTGTTTGTTGTTTCTCTGTTTCTGTAATGATTGTTTCCACCGTTAATGTCCACTGGAGCACACTGTTTTAATTTCCCATTCAGGAGACTCAACTTGTGCTTATTGTGCRCAAGCCCAAGCTACTGCATAAGAGGGTCTGTAATTGTATGTCCTGCAGCACAAAAGGTTTTCTCAAATGCATCCAAATAAAAGGAAGAGAAAAATTCTGGCCAGATTTGGCTTCTCAGAGGTAAACATTCTGCATTTGGAAGGGAGATCTGGCACAGTTCATAGCACTGCGTGGATGGTGACAGATATTCTCATTTCAGAGGTCTTTGCTGTTTCACAACATGGTTTGTGTCTGATTTGGGATGAAAAGCAGCGCTTGCTCCGTGTCCAGGGAGATAGAGGCTGCAGCCAGGCTGGCTGAATCTATCCAGGACAGACCTTTGGGTTCCATTATTTAAGCAATTTAGCTCAGTGACATCCAAGCCATCCAAGCCTCTCTCACCACCGGGAGCTGGAAAAGCACCGAATGGGCCATTCCCAGGCTCCCCATCCCTCTGCCGCCTGTAAAACACAGTAAAAACACCGGAGACTGTCTCTGAACCAAAAATCCTAATCAATCAGTACCAATATTCCAGACAAGGCCTTTTAATTCAGCAGCAGCTATGTTCACGTCCCTGCAGTGTGCTTATCTTTCAGCAAAGAACTCTAAATTGGTTTAAAATATTGAGGGTATTCTATGAGAAATGGATTGCAATATTGCATCCACCTTGGAAGCAGGGAAATGTGTTTGGGAGAAAACAGATGTGAGGACATGGTTTTCAAGAGAYTGATGAAAAGTAAAGATGCATTCGTTTTAGACTTAAATACTTAGGTAATTAGATAAGACAGTGCTCCAAAGCACTGATGTGAACGTTTATCTTCTGTATTTTGCAGGTTTCTCCGTGTCCTGGGACCTGGTCAGGTGTAGGTTTACTGCCCCAAAGGCAATCAGTTTGGTTGCCAATGCGCTGGTCTCACTAAAGGACACACAGCGTTGCTCTGCTCAGCATTACTCCAGTGCACGTCCAGCCCTTTTTGAAAGTTTTACATAATACTGTTGATGTTGACAATAAACAGCACGAGGGTTCACCCACCTCTCCCATAAAAGCCTTGCAAGAGATCAATCAGATTACCATAGCATTTATTAAACTTGAACTTTTTACCTCCACAATTATAAGTACTGGGAAAACAGAAGACATGGGCTTAATCTTATCTGTGAGAAAAGTGGTTTAAGATTAATGTGCAGAGAAGAGCCACCAAAAAAGCCCCCACTAGTGTCACTGCCACATATCTATASTGCTTCTCTGAAGAAACTGGGCAAACTCAGACTTTTTGCATTAATCTTTGTCAAACAGAGCACTGTAAATGCCCTGATATGATATTATTCCAAAGTAGCACTGTCTATATAAATTCATATAAAGTCATCCAAATGCACTATCCCCTGAAAGGAGCAACATGTAGAGAAACCTCTGGGAAAAAAAAGTTGTTGAATTATTTCTGCCATCTTGACACTACCTACAATTCAGTTCCCAAAATACCCATATAAGATTTTTCTTAGATGCACAAGTTGATACAGAGGTTATATTGCTTACCTAGGGGTGCAGCAAAGGTTAACGACAGATCCAAAATGAGCACCTCCATCCCTAGATGTCTGACTAGGTTCAGTTTATGTTTGGAATAAACATGCTGTATTTCAGCACGAAATCGTGTCTGGCAGTCTAAGTGGGTCTTCAGCCTAACTTCTGTAATGAGTCTGGGGTGGGCAAGCTGCCATGGACTTCGTTAGAGGATGAGGGATTGTGCCTCAGTTCCCAGGCCTAGCAGGAGACCGACATTAGATGAAAAGAAACTGCCTTTGTGTGAACAGTGTTGCACAATTATAGAAGCAAATCAAGCTAGAATGTGCAAGGGGGACTTTTTGGTGTTTGTGAGGCAATCCTTCTGCTGCACTCTGCCTCTGGAAAGGTCTCAGCTGCTGTGCTGCCATTAGAATAAACATTCATATATTTCAGAGAAAGCCCAAAAAAGAAGAATGTCGTAGCACACATTCTGCAAAGAACGATGGGTTTGCTTAGGCCTGTGCAGGGGAGTGCCTGTAAATTTTTTTCAGTCTGTGAAACATGGAACTTATTTCTAGGAGAGCTACAGTGCACAGACACAATGATCTTCAAACCCATTAAAA